AACATTGTAGGTTAGGCTTTATCACAGTGTATCAAATCTTAATTTATTTGGACCCTGCTAAATTGAAAAAAGAGTTCCAGTTTTGTAATATATTCTTTGTTAATAATGTTCACTTTATATTTCTGCAATAAGTAAGGAGGTGCTGATTTTTTCCAATAAAATTGATCATTTCTTTATGAGTATAGAGTTTACTTTTTGTCTTGTAAGAGGTATCTAAGGGGATGTGGAAAGAGAACTAGAGTTAGAAGATTTACATTGTAGAGACGCCTTAAGTAATTATTTAGAGATGTCTGAAGACTACTGACAGTTAAAGCCTTACAGGCATATTCTGGTTACTGCTTTGCTACACTTAAGGTATGCTTGCTTTTGGAAGGAAGGCAATCTTCACTTGTACTATATAGCTACCAAGGGTGGGTATTTGCTTACAAAATTGAGGTTACATAGCCTTTTGAGTGTACAAATGGGCACAGTGAGTGGCATTATAGTAGACAGTGTTATTGTCTACAAAGGTGAGCCTACTTAGGTGATTTGAAAACAACTAAACAGATGGAAATATTTCTTCTGGAACGTCATGATTTTGATATTTTAAGTCTATGTCTCTAGGAGCCACCAAATCCATAAAGTGATATGAGCATTATTTTGTTGACTCTATCATTGTTCAAGAACGTGTACTTAGTGTTTCAATACCAACATCTGTAACAGAGGGAGTCCTGGCACAGGTTACTGATCTTCTTGCTGATTAACATGGGATAGGCTAGTATGTACTCTAGAGGCCACTGCTGTTCAATGTCAGTTTCCTTCTGAGTTCTAAAAAGTGTAGCTGTTGACAGAACCATTGAACCCAGAATAGTTTCAAAGCAAGAAACTAGTCGATTTGCTTCCTTGTGTATGTTCCTCCAAATAGCACTTTTCCCTATCTGGATTTAGTTTCCAAAAACTATGTTTTCTTTCTCCTTTGCCTTCTCTTTATTCTTCCCCTTCATTTCCTTTTTTTTTTTTTTAACTAAAGATGATCTTGAACCTTTATTAGCACTATCATTATTTTTCCAGCTTTCTGCAAATTACAAAGAAATATTCATGACAGTAATATGCGATATTTTATTGTCAAATGCTCTTTGGGAAATGAGTGATGAAATTAATTTTTAAAAATAAATGTATCTATTGGAATGATGAAAATGTTCTGAAATTGTATTTTGGTGATGGTTGCACACTTAAATGGGTGAACTTTATGGTGTGTAATTATATCTCAATAAAGCTGCTAAAAATTAATTTTTTAATGATTGTTAACTTACTGCAATAACAAAATTACCAAGCTTTCAGCAAAAAATGGACAGCGAGGGTGGGTTTTAATTAAGAGAAATAAAAAAGGACTCAATAACCCATTCAGTTCAAGTTTCAACACCATTTCCTAGAAAGCAATTCTCAGTCAGGTATTGGAATGTGGTATGTTATTGTTGACGGCAAGCAATTTGTTACAAATAATAGTTAAAGCATCAGAGTTTTTAAATGATTTACTTGTTACACAATTTAGAGTAGATAATTCTAACATAACATTTCTCTCATTTTCATTTTCTTATTTTTTTGTGGTGGTGGTGGTGGGGTGCTGGAGTTATAAGTAGGGCACTGGGAATTGCTTATAAGTCTGGTTAGATCTATGGGGGTATGTCACACGTATTACTGTCACCTGTCAGGGGGGAGGGGGCAGGTTAAAAGGCTGAGAAGCCCTAGAGAAAATCTTTTATTTAAATTCAAACTGCCAAATGACAAAAAGCCACTTATTTGTTCTTTGCACATTCTCCAATTCTGTTTTTTCCTTACCTCAGGCAGCCTGAACTGACGTGATAGTAGTGTTTCCCAAATTTATTTGAGCACAGAAATATTTATTTCTGAAATCCCTAATATTTTGAGGCACACAGTGTTACGAGAACTCAGTTAAGAAAATGTTGCTCTGTAAGTTCTAACTTGACCAGGACATTAAGTGTTTCTGCTGGAGAGGAATGAGAAGTCTATTGCATGCCCAGCTTAGAGGGTGAGTTTATTCATATTTAAATACACGGCATACTTCTTGCTGTGCCCCTCTCTCCATTTTAGAGACTACCTTATAGCTGTTTTGTAGATGTAGTCATTGAGTACTTCTTAAAGTTTAATGGATATATAAATGGCCTATTAAAATGAAAATTTTAATTTAGTGAATCTGGGACTGGACCCAAGGGTCTGCATTTCCAACAAGCTCCCAAGTGATGGCAATGTTATTGTTCTAAAAACCACCCTTTGTGTCATGTGAGTTTTGGATACAATTCAATCATAGTAGCTCTAAGACAAAAGAGTGATTTTTATAGGAGCCATACTAGCTCCTTCTTTGTTTCCTAAAGTCCAGTTACATAAACAATTCTCTTTTGCTACAAGATTATTATAAAGTGTTCAAAACCTTAATTTGTCGCTTTGTCAAAATATATTGACCAAATACAGAACTAAATACATGTTTGCTTTATACAGGAAATAAATGTGTAAAGGATTTAGGGGACCTTACTTGATTTGTAATACTAATTGCAAGTGTTAGGACATTTCTGTTTCTACAAAGTGTGTACCAATGAAGTGAGAAATATGGTACATCACACTCTAGAGAAGCATAAGGCAACATTTTTTTCCCCCAAATGTGTTCATCCTCCAATGTTGATTGATTGTGATATATAGACCGAAATATAAAAAGATCCTGACAATTACGAAGGCAGCAATCCTGCTTAATTTATACCAGGTTCTTAACACTGTTTACATAAGTTGGGGAGCAAAGAGATGGGAAAAGAGGTGTTATGCATGATGAGGTAGAAGAAAGAAAAAAATATATTATTAAATGCATAAGTTAAAGTAAAAATCTATTAGTAAAGGGTTTAAAGCAACGAAAACATTTTAGCACAAACTGGAAGGAATAAGTTAGCAGGCATGATAGAGTAGAGAATCCAGAAATATTTTGGAACTATTCTCTCAGTGCAACTAGTTGAGGGTTATTACTAGTTACTTAGAGGGGGAGGAGTGGAGACTGGAATCAGAATCCCATATGTATTTATTACGGTTAGTTCAATTTAACTATATGCAGTAAATGATCATTGTTCTCATAGGAAAAAAGTGGCCTTTAATGAATCATGGACCAAACCCCAGGTTAGTTGTTTTAAACGCTCTTGAGTAACATTTAGTTGCATCAATATATTTTTAAAAACAACATCTTGAGCTCAACCCCTTCTGAATTTATTCCCAGTGGCTTCTTGCCCAGATTCTCTACAAAGCCGAGGAAAGATTTGAGATTCTCAGTATCAGTTTTTCAGGATGATTTTGTGTCCCAGTGAAATAAGCAGAGTTCCAAGGTCTCTGATACTAATATTTTTGAGACCTGCAACAATAGAATGTATTCCTCAGAGCTCAGGGAAAATGCTGCAGACATATCTCTTATCTTGAAAAGCAGTATGCATAATGGGGGTAAAACTGTTGAAGTGACGAGAAACACTGTTTGACATGAGGCAAATCATTTCTCTGAACCTTAGTTTTCTCCTTGATCATTAAATGAAAAATCAGTGAATTTACTTATAACCATCATGCTGTTCTTTTCTTCTCCCTCCTTCACAAGGATGGCTTCTCAGTTCCATGACTACCCTGTTAGGAAGATTCTCTCACCTCTACTCCATACTCACAATTTGTGCAAACCCTTTGCTCCTTAAGAGGGTCTGTCTGCTTACATGTTCCTTGTTTGTCTCCCCATCCCCACTTTCCTCCCCTCCGCAGTAAACTGAAAGCTCCATGAGAGAGGCAGCAGTTGAGAGCAGAGACTCTGAAGCTGGAGTAACTGGGTTCGAATTCCACTTCTGCCATTTACCTGTTATGTGAATCTCGGAAGTCACTTACCTAACTTATCCATTTCCTTATCAGTAAAATGGTGGTTGTTATGAGGATAAATGAGTTAAAAATTTATTAAAACAACTAGAATAATATCTGGCCCTATGACATTGCTTAGTCAGTAAGATAAATGAAGGCAGGGGCTGATTGTAATTAGTTCTCTACTGCACCAAAACTTTTCAATGGTCTGTTCTTTAAGTGAATCTATAAGTGAGAGAATGGATTAGATGGTGGAAGTGAAGCCCTGTCTACTCTGTGAACATTATAATGACTTCCAACATGGGCAAAAATACCTACACACATAAGGGATTCCTTTTTGTCTCTTGAACAAATGTATCTGTTTACTCAATTTCTTCCATTTTTATATAAATATTCCCATGAAATACTAATCCTGTATTTCAGGCCTGACTTCAAATCTTCAAATAACTTTCTTGTTAGGGGGCTAATGCAGCTGGTGACTTTAAGCTGAAGCTCATTTGCCATTTTGAAAACACTAGGGCCTTTAAGAATTATGTGAAATCTCTCCCTGTGCTCTATAAATGGAAACACAAAGGCTTGAGGACAGTACATCTGTTTAAAAATGATTTACTGAATTTTTTTAAGCCCACTGTTTATACCTGCTTAGAAAAAGTCCTTAGGAAAAAAAATATTACTGCTCATTGACAATGTATGGTGCCATTGATAATGATATCTCTAATGGATCAGGGCAAAGTAAATTGAAACCATTTGGAAAGAATTCATTCTAGATGCCATTAAGAACAGTCACGAGTCACGGAAAGACATTAAAATAGCAACATTAACAGGAGTTAAGAAGAAGTTGATTCCAACCCTCATGGATGACTTTGAGGGATTCAAGACTTCAGTGGAGGAGGTAACTGCAAATGTGGTGGAAATAGCAAGAGATGTAGAATTAGAAGTGGAGTCTGAAGACGTGACTGAATTGCTACAATCATAATAAAACTTTAATGGATGAGGAGTTGCTTCTTATGGATGAGCAGAGAAAGTGGTTTCTTGAGATGGCATGCAGCCTATTGAAATGACAAAGGATTTAGAATATGACATATGAGGCCTTACAATTGAGTTGGTGAACTCATCCTAGAAAAAGTGCTACATACCTCATTGCTGAATATCACTTGAACAAATAATCCTCTTGGGCAGTTATGTACCAATGCCAGCACCTAATTCACCCTTCAAAGCAATTTTGGAACTCTTTTTCTGGAATGGCCATCAGAGCTGTCATCATATTACCCTTGATATCCTGAATGTCATCAAAATGTCTTCCTTTCAATATTTTCTTTATCTTCGGGGAAAGAAAGAAGTCATTGGAAGCCAGATCAGGTGAGCAGGGAGGGTGTTCCAATACAGTTATTTGCTTACTGGCTAAAACTCCCTCAGAGACAGTGCTGTATGAGCTGGTGCATTGTCGGGACGCAAGAGCCATGAATTGTTGGCAAAAAGTTCAGGTCATCTAACTTTTTCACACAGCCTTTTCAGCACTTCCAAATAGTAAACTTGGTTAACTGTTTGTCCAGTTGGTAAAAGTTCATAATGAATAATCCCTCTGATATCAAAAAAGGTTAGCAACATTGTTTAGACTCTTGATTTGGACTGATGGAACATTTTTGGTCATGGAGAATTGACTGAATTCCATTGTGCACTTTGATGCTTTGTATAAGGATCATATTGGTAAACCCATGTTTCATCACCAGGGATAACAAGCCCAAAACATCGTCTTGCCTCTCCAAAAGGTTTTGGCAAACTTTGACTCTCCTTTGCTTTTTTGTTCATAGGTGAGCTCCTTTGGACCTTTTTGCACACACTTTTCTCATGCCAAGATTTTCAGTTAAGATTTTCCTGTTTCTCTATCGATGTTTACTTGGTCTGCTATGCTTCTCACAGTCAACCAAGAATTTTGATGCAATATTCCACAAATTTTGGCAATGTTTTTATCAGCTCTGTTCGTTGGTAGCCCTGACCTCTCTTCATCAGTGACGTGTTCTCTCCCCTCAGAAAAATGTTTAATCCATTTGTATACTGCTGTTTTCTTCATGGCATTATCCCCATAAACGTGGACTAACATGTCCCTGATTTCACTTCCACTCTTGCCGAGTTTAACAAGAAATTTAATGTTTGTGTTTTGCTGTAATTCAAGCTCGACATTCTCGCAATGGCACACAAAACACATGCAGCAATGATAACAAACGCCACTCAGTAAGACAGCGCCACATGTCAACATGAACACAGCTGTGAGACACTGAATTACCAAGGTTATGAAACCTTACCAAGCTGTTTGTACAGTGCTGCCAACGTAAGCGCACGGTGGCAAGTTAGTGAACCTAATTGTCAGACCTCATATATTACATTGTTATAAAAAGTTTATGAATAATGAAAAAAATGTAATTCATAAGCTTGCCACTTCAATACAACAAACATGATTCATGTTTTATAGTCCTCATTAGACTTTTTTACATGTATAACTTTACAAAGTGATAGTTGATGAGTAAATAAATTTTTGGTATTTGTTTTTTATGTAAAATGGGAGCACAGTATATAAATTACTTCACAGATTTTAGCTTATTTAAATGAATTTGTTATCCATTGCATGAATATGAAATAATTAATATTATTTTCTTTGTTATTGTTAATTCTTTATTATTAGAAACTTAGACTGCTATTTATTTTTTACTCCTTTATATATATTCAAGTGCACATTGTACATTTATTTTTTAAAATTATTTTTAGATTATATTTGACATACAATATTATATTAGTTTCATGTGTACAACATAGTGACTAAACATTTGTATACCTTAGGAAGTGATCATCATGATAAGTCTAGTACCCATTTGGCACCATACCTATTTATTACAATATTATTGATTATATTCCCTATGCAATAATTTATATCCCTGTGACTACTTCTATGACTGGCAGTTTGTAGTTCTTAATCCCCTGTACATATATTTTATTATTAAAGTGATTTGAGTTTTGATTTTCTAAAATTTGGGACATTTAAACTCACTACACTTAACATAGCCAACACAATGTCCATGTTTTTATTTATTCCCCTTTTAAAATGACTTTCAGAATCATATTTTTCGGTGTCATGGAAAAACAAAATGAACAATATGTATACTTATGAGGCATACACGAACATGTCAAATTATTTAATGATTTTGAGATTGTACTATCAGACTCTAGATTATGCTACAACTTGTTTTTTTTTTTTTTTAGCTGAACCATCTGGCTACCTGTTGCTAGCTCAGCGGCAGCTCAGTTCAGGCAGGGACTCGAACTGCTGTTGCTCAGAGCTCTACAACTTGTTTTTTTATGTGAAAGTACATAAAATTAAGTATTTGTTAACTTAGAACAAAACTAGACAAATACTATTTTTTCTTAAATAGCTACAAGAACTGACTTGAAAATAACGATACAATAAGTATATAAAAAGTAGACAAATAATGTATTTTTACTTTCTTAAAGAGAACTTCAGGATTCATGGCATATTTAATAGCTAGTAATGATACCATAATGAGAGTTAAAATACAGAATTCTCAAAAAAAATTTTAAAACAAGGGAATTTTTTTACTGATTTCATTTTTAAATTCCACATATCACACTTTTTGAAAAGTTAAACATGAGAAAAAAAACCACTTCTATATTTAAAGATACATGATACTAAGCCATATCTGTAGGTTTTTTCATTTTGTAGAAAATTGGGCCAAGCAGCCAAGCACCTTACTTAAACAATATCAAGCACATTATCTGAAAATATCTAAGAGTTTTATGAAGTTTTCAGAAAAGTAGCTACTAAACACAGCCAAAACTTCTTAAGCTTCTGTATATTTTTCACGTTCTAAGATATAGTAAAACTTCTAAAACTGCAGAAGAAAAAACACTTACCTGTACATTTTGATCCTGAGTAATGAAGAGGTTCTTTTTCTCTACTCTTCTGAGGTTTCCACTCCAGTGATGCTCATGTATTATGTGTGACCTGTGAAAGGGCTGAAGACGCAGGAGGAAATCCCGTGCGATTAATATCTAACTTGTTAAACAAGTCTGAAGACATCAAGTTGAACTAATAATGTGACTTGTGGAACAGAACCGGAAATAGACAGGGTGATTTCACTTTATTCTGGTAAACTGTGATTAAACATGGTAACAAGTGACAGGTAAATTGTGAAAGCTGGCAACTACTCCACGTGCTGTGGGGTCATTATTTTTTATTTAAAGAAGACGTGACACTGCCTGTGTTATCATATTGTCACATACCTCATTTCTTTGCTACAACAAGCCAAGAACTATCAAAAAACACTTGCCATTCATTAATGAGTAGTATGACCTTTGAATAGTCCCTTGTCTGTGATAAAATACGGTTATTCTTAATAGTGTATGAAACACAGATTCAGAGAAGTAATTGAGTAGGTATACAAAATTGTAGGATAAGCAAGCAGAATAGTTGGAACTAAAATGCACTTTGTCTGTTTCTAAGTATGTTTTTTTTAAAAAAACATTCTAACTCACTATTAGAAGATTGGACAGTAGACCATAGTATGAGTATGAATGGGGTCAGGGTAAGAATGGAGTGTCTGGTGGTGTTTGCAGGCAGAAGCCGAGCCCAAGAATTCACAGGGGCTAGAATAGTGTGGAATTGAGAAAAAACATTCTTGTCTAATGTGTTGGAAAGAGGTAGGTGATAAATTTGGAAGGTTATGCTGGGATTACTTTGTGAGAAATAATGAATGCTAAAAAAATTAGAGTTTGTAATAGAATTAGCTTGTGTGTTAAAACTTGAATTCTAGTCTCAGCTTTTTCACCAACTAATTGGGCAACCTAAGGGGAAAAAAAATCACTTATGACTCTATGAGTCTCATTTATAAACTGAGAAAATGAGAAGCTGAATCAGGTGGCCTTAGAGAACATTTTCAACTCTAAAATTCTGTGACTTTACCTTATAAGGCACTGCTAGCTGATGGCTAATAAATTCACTCCAGACTGAAACTTGAGAAGTGTTTACTTATTTATACATTTTTACATAAAATGCAAACCAGACAATAGGGGCATAAATAAGTGGGCTCCTCTCTACCTTTCCATTATAATATTTTCATCAGATCCTATATCTCATGCCTGATATTCTAGTGTATTTCTTTTTTTTTTAGTAAAAAGAATGAAATATTATTTTTAAAACTTTTGAAAAAAGTTAACTAAACCATTTTCATTTCACATGTTAACACTTCAATACTTTTCACATGTACAGGTCTTTTTCACACAGTTATATCATAATGTATAACTGTATTATGCTTTTTATATTTAACATTTCATAAGCATATATCTGTGCTACTAATTTTTATTTCTAGTAGCTGTATATGTTATTTCTAGTAGCTACATATGATTCCAGTAGCTATATAAAAAGTATCTTATAACTTTTTTATTTTGATATAATGTCAAATTTACAGAAAACTTGCAAATATGGTGTCTAGATTAATCATTTATTAACAAGTTTAATGGCTGCACTTTAAAGGGTGAACCATACTACTTTGGACAGATTCATCATAAAATACTGAAACCATCTCTTAATATGAAATATTTAATTTTTTAATTGTTGATGATTCTTCAAATAACAACCTTCAGAAATATAATTTTTCAGCCCAAAGCTCAATTTTTCCTTGAAATAAATGAAAATGAAAAATAATTTATTGGGCCAAATTACTTAAATATTTTAATGGATTTTTTAAAATGTACTTTTGTTTTAGTAATTTTTTAAGGATGTGAAGCTTGCCTTCTGGTTTTTGTTGACAGCACTTTCCCCCAACTACACATTTTTCTATATACAACTACTCTTTCTCCTCCATCTTTGTATTTCCTGGAATAATCATCAAAGGCCTTTTTAATGACTGGGTGCTTAGTCAGCACATATTGTTTGTATGTCCAGTAACTAAATGCATTAATGAAAATCCTAGTACCCCATCATTATTCACAACTTGGGAATTAGTCAGGGGAGTGGCATGGGGAAAACTGCATTCAGTCTGAAAGTGACTTCCTGCTCGCCTGTGATGAGCTCAACACAGAGAGGTGGGGCATGAAACTAAGGTTAGTGATGCAAAGGACTTGCTCTCAACAGGGACTAGTTCAGAAGATGTTGACTTTTTAATTACAGTTGACATTCAATATTGT